CCTGTGTGAAGTCTGAAGTCATGGGTTTGAGTGCTACTTTTGTTTAGCACGGGCCTGTTGCCAGAATATACAGCCTTACAGCTCCAATTCTGTCATTATTGTAGAACACAATCTACTTCCAGGAAATCTGCTTCTGTTCCTCTGACACTGCTTGGGAGGAGAGAGCTATCCACTGCCCAGAATAGCATCTCCACCTGTTTGAGTCCCCCTGAAAGCCTTCCCCTGATTCCAACCCCAGTTAGTTAGGACGAAGAGCTGATTTAATTGCCTTAGAGTGTTTCTTATTAGCACTAGTGGTTGGAAGCATGTTAAAACACATTTAAGGTGGCGTTTAATTCCATGCTCTGCAACAAAAAAACATTTTTAAATGCAGACTTAACAGACCACTTTCAAGACATCCAAGTCAGTAGAGACGGTGACAGTCTCACACAATTGTTCATTAAATGCAGGAGACCTGTTTCCACTTACGTATTAGATCTGTATATAAACTATCATGCCATGAATCTTTAATAGTGTAGCTAGGTGGATTCCCCTGTCAAGTTTCAATTGTAAATAATGTAAAGATGTTTCTGTCTAGGTCATTCAAAAAGTCCTTGACTGAATCCATTCTCTTGTCCATTCTCTGCATATACTGTGCAAGGAAAATCCATAAGTCATAAGACTTACAAAATTGAAATGGTTATTCAAGCATATTATGTCAGAACTCAACTTTGCTAATTTAGTTGTCAAATAAATCTTTTTTTTGTTCATTTACTTTTAACATTGAATGCATATCATTTTTAATTATACTTTCTGAAATAAACTTCATAGTAGATTAAATATTAGTTGCTATCACAATGTAGGCCTACAGCTAATAAAGTATTCATTTTCCAGTGGTTTTAAAGAAGTAAAGAAATAATCAAAGCCTAAACAAACTGATTAGCACAATTTTCATATAAAAGCATCTGATAGATTTTCATATTCAGCACTAAATGCTGTTATTACATGGCTTTCTGGAATACTTAATTCTGTATGGCAAGTCGCAATTCTGTATATTAGACAGGTCATCTGGTTAAATGAGCCTTCATATTGCGTCTCTTTTTATCATTTGTATTAAAAATAACTTCATTAATTTTAGTGTCAAATTGCTGAAGTATTCGTCTTGTTCCTTGGCCGATTGATTTGTAATGGGCTATACTTTTTATAGTTAATGTTTTTAGATGATACAGATACATTTTAAAATCATTTCAACTCAAATCAATATTGCATGTCTGCACATTTATTTAATTAATTAATTTATTTATTTGGTGTCTAGCAGTTTAATAGGCTCTGCATTGGGGTCCTGCCATGTTTGTTTGGCGATAATGACCAAATAAAGCACATTTTTTATTGTTTAACCAATGGATCACATTCTACTGTTTTTTTACACCGATCATCATTATAAATGGTCGTGCTTATAATTTTTAAATGTTATCATCATTTTCTTTGATCATCCTAGAATAAAGCATTCTACTGATTAGATTTTGTACTGTCCCTGCTATGATTTTGTTTAATAACATAACTGCTTTTTCTGCCATTGTCTAAATTGTATGCCAATGCCAAGTGGTCACCAAAAGAGCTTCAATTATTTCGTGGCCTGCTTCAGAGCGCAGCGTTGCAGATTTCTATGAAAAATAAAAATGTGTTCTGGCTCTTTCCTGGAAAATAGCATTGAAAAATATTGTGACTCACTGGCTTGTATAGTATGGAGCTCTTAGTATTCAGCCTTGCTACCACTTTCACTGGCTGAACAACCATTCAGAATTTTTAATTTTCTAATTTTAAACCCACTATTTCTATAGTTTCTGAACCTCTGGTCTCAACAATCTGAGAACACGGGGAGGGAGAAGTTCAAAGGTAAGGTGCATTTATGTTATAATCAAAACAAGACTACATCATAGGTCAAATTAATATGAATGAAGATTTATATTAACATATAATGTGAATAGAACACAACAGTAACAGATAATTTTTCAGTGGCCTTGGTTTCCTATGTAGTGTTTTTCCTATTCATTTTATTTATTAGGATTTAAAATATTCTTCAGTAAAGATTTCTAAGCCTTGAACCAAACCAACAAGCTCAGAGGGCAATCACTCATTTCATGAAGCATTGCAAATGATGTAATCAAATAGAATAGTTTATTCCAAAATATTCAGATTTATACAAATATGTAAGGATTCAAGAGTGTAGGAAGACTGACTCAATTATGTCACTGGCTTGTTGAGCTCTCTTCAGGATTATTGGCAGCGGTGTTACTAGTATGCCATCCTGGGATGGGAATTTAGGTGGGCAACTGAAGTCAATATGAGAACAAATAAAATTAAAATGGAGTTCCAGACGGTGCTGTATACTAGATATGATACCCAATTTTACAACAAAATAGACTAAAGAAGATGAAGATATAAAAATATTATGAACAATTCTAGTAAATTTTTGTTCAACAAATCCAGTCTAAGATAAAACTTTTTCCTATTTACTACTGGCCGGGAAAACAGCCCTTGAGTGGCCACCTTTCTGCCCAATTAAGCATGATTTTTTAATATATATATATATATATATATCAAGTTGAAATCACACTGACTTGGCTTGTGTAGAAGCATATATCATCAATTACCAACCTCAGAGCTCATGGTAGGTCTGTGTAGAAAGGTTCATAATTTAACATTAAAACTCAATTTCTCTATGGAGAAAATAAATGAGATCTTACTTCCTGAACCCTACTGTTGCACTCTATTGTAATGTAATTGAGAACCACTTATCCATGCTCACGGATCATCCCTAATCCCTGACCTGTTTATTTAATTTTTTTTTCCTGTTTATACACCACTGCAAAAATGTGCTCTCATCAGCATCATGTAATCTGTGGCTGGAAATCACAATGATTATTTTTGGAGTGCAAATTTTTGCTGTGAATTTACTTTAGCATTCCAGAAGTGAGGTTTTCATGTTCAGTGTAAAGAAAGCTGACTTCACAAAGTAACAGGCAAAGAAATGCACAAGATTTACTTGTTACTTTGAATTTTTAAACACACTCTGTCAGGGAACTGGAGAGAGATGAGCCGAGGACTCAAATGCAGGATGATATGGGCATTTATTAATAGTAAAAACCAAACAAAACTAACAAAAACTACCCCGAGGGGGAAAAACAGGCAGGCAGGCAGGCCAAGACAGGGCACAGCACAGCATGGCAAGGCCAAAGAAACATACACACATATGACAATGACTCTCAGGCCCTGTCCCACCTGTTGGTTTGGCATGCTCTTGACAGTGCTTCATAGCATGCGTTTGTGTTTTCAAGTGGACAGAGATTTTTTAAAAAATGGAAGAAGGAAAAACTCTGTTTCTAAAGATACCCGTGTACGTGTGGACATGGCCTCAGACATAAACAACGAAACAGCACAGGACTGCAGACAAAAGGAGAATAAACAGGACAGACCAGCTTAAACCAGCAGCGTCAAAACATACCTAACCAGCATATGCTGTTTTTTTCAACAGTGTGCTCAACAAACAGACACAGTGACCTCTCGTGGCCATCTAAGGCACACCAGCTGAATACTGTGACAGACCAGCTTAAACCAGCAGCGTCAAAACATACCTAACCAGCTGAATACTGTGACAGAACCCCCCCCCTTTAAGGAGCGGATTCCAGATGCTCCCCAGTCCAAAAAAGAAAACAAAAATCTAGGAGGGAGGTGGACCAGAGGCGGATCAGGGGGAGGGATGGTGGGCCAGGCCCGTGTGGTGGAATATGCGGAGCTGAAACTCACCAGGGCGGAGCATGTGGAGCTGAAGCGGAGCTGGAGACCACCACATTGGTGCAGGTGGGGCTGAAGACCACCACGGCAGCGCAGGCAGAGCTCCTGACCACCACAGCTGAGCAGATTCACGGGCCGGAGTATGCTTTGGAGCAGACTCGTGAACTGGAGTGGATTCTTGAGTGAACTTTGAAGGCTTCCGGACTGGAGCAGGTTCTTGAGTGGACTCTGAGGGCTCCCGGACTGGAGCGGTTTCTTAAGTGGACTCTGAAGGCTCCCGGACTGGAGCAGGTTCTTGAGTGGACTCTGAGAGCTCCTGGACTGGAGCAGGCTCTGAAGTGGACTCTGAAGGCTCCTAGACTGGAGCAGGTTCTTGAGGGGACTCTGAGAGCTCCTGGGCTGGAGCAGGCTCTGGAGTAGATTCTGAAGGTTCTTGGACTGGAGCAGGTTCCTGAGTGGACACCGAGAGCTCCTGGACTGGAGCAGGCTCTGGAGTGGACTCTGAAGGCTCCTGGACTGGAGCAGGTTCTTGAGTGGCCTCCGAGGCAGGCTCCTGGGAAGCCAGAGCAAACTCCAAAGTGGCCCATGCCCCCAGAACAGCCCTGTGGTGAAAAGCGAAGACAGCCTTCTTGACGATGGCAGCAGCAGTGAAATCGGGCGGCTCTGTAGCGGTCTCCATGGCCGAGACAAGGAGAGCGGGCTGCTCAGTGATGGCCTTCATGGCGGCAGCAGTGAAATCGGGCAACTCTGTAATGGCCTCCATAGTCGAGACAAGGAGAGCAGGCTGCTCAGTGATCTCAGAAACCACCGAACATAGGACCACCTGAGTCGGGTCCTCCAGGGCCACCAGACTAGGGACCACAGGAGTCGGGTCCTCCAGGACCTCCGGACTAGGGACCACCGCAGTGATGCCAGCTACTCGCACTGACAATAGGGGTGGGACCGCCAAACTGAAAACTAGCCCAAAATGCCTTGGGCCCCCCTTGCGACGAGGTTCCAGACTGGCAGCCATCATGTGGAGAGGCTCTGGAAAGGCAGCCATGAAGAGACGAGACTCTGGAG